GATTTTTGTTTGTTTTATTGAATATATATTGCATACTTAGCAATACATCATGGTTATGGAGTTTCAAGACGTTAAATGCAGCTTTCATTTTACTTGTTTAAACAGCTTGATACACGCGTCTAACCGCTTGGCCAAGCACAAAGTAGATCGACAATTATCTGAATGATTGTTTCTGAACCCTTACAACAATTGAACATGTTTGTCTCAAGCAAAAATCTACGTGGCTTGCCTTAAACCATCCGTTTCGTTCGGAATCTCTGGCATTACGCTAATGTTACTTGGATTTAATGTGTCATAATCTATATTTCAATTCGGTTTCAAAAGGGGTCGCTCGATAACTGATTGTAGTGTTGAGCTGATTAAATATATTTTCAATACATGGGAGAATTCACAGGATACTTTGGCTATAGACTATTTTTACTGGAAACGAGGCATTCCACCTTAGTCCTCACGGGTGACAACGCATCTGCATTTGGATTTGTAATCGAGGATAGATGTAGATGTCTATGGGCCGCCGCAACCACTTACCATCAGGTAGACTGTGTGCTCGTTTGTTACTTTATCCTATATAAAAAGTATGAGCTCTTCCAGTTCGATAGTACAAATGGGCGTGCCTCAAGCCTCAATTTACGACCCGGTGAAACAAAGAAATAGACATGAAAAAAAATAAAGAACGTAATAATTGCATTTAAATGGCACTAAAAAATAAAACAATATAACAAGTGATAACTTCCCCCCTTTTCTTTCCAACCAAAAAAAAAAAAAAAAACAAAAAAAGGTATAAAAACACACCCCAATGTGGCCATATAGTATTTTGCTATAGGGACATGCGACTGACACTGAAATTATATTTGCTTTACAGAATAGAGTAATATATGATTTAAAACCTAAAGACGTTCAGACAAAAATTTAAAGAAATGAATATATTTTATGAGAAACGTATACAAACATAAAAGTAGTTTTACAATAAATAAGGAATAGTTAATCGCTAAATACTTGAAATAGAAAAAGCTAGTAGTACCAGTTACTCGACTCACCGAATTAGTATTTCATTCTTGAGGCGATGTATACGCGTTTACAACAAAATTCCAAATATTCAAAACTTGATCCGCTCGAAGTTCGAAAACTTTAAAAAAAGTTTGTATAAGGGTTATTATAATATTAAGGAAATTATAAGTGATAATAATGCCTGGGAAGGGTGATCGCTACCAAGCTATTTCTAATATACCTAGTCAGGTCATAAGTATTGTCACACAGTAAAAACTTTTCTTTTAGAATGCTTGCCACAAAAAAGTTTATTGAATTCGAATTTCGAATTGTTCATGAAAATAAAACTGTATACTTTTTAGAATTTTACTAATTAAATATGGAGTGAACGCTTAAAGAAGGCAGTGTTGCAGTTATTGCGTTGCATCGTTGCGGTTACGCGCCAATTCAAATTTTTGACATACTGAAAAATTTGAATATAACCAAAAGATTCGTTTATCGTACCATCAAACGATACAATGAAGACTCTAGTGTAGATGACAGGTCAAGAAGTGGTCGCCCTCGGTCTGTTAGGACTCCAGCAGTGATAAAAGCTGTGAAGGCGCGAATTCAAAGAAATCCCAAACGTAAGCAGAAACTGTTGGCCCTTCAGATGGGGTTAAGCAGAACCACGGTGAAAAGGGTGTTAAGGCGCTCTTATACTGACACTTTAGGTATTTAGCGCATCTCCAGCGCGCGCGTTATAAACAACGCAAACACCCCAAAACAATGAACTCACTTGATCCCGGCACCGCGCTGCTACAGACCACAGTACAAAATAGTTCGCAGTAGGATTACTTCTTATGATTTGAACTGTTTTTAGTTTGTAGTGAGTAGTTACAAATTACTTCTTTAGTTAATATTTTGTATGATGTTGTATTAAATTTATACGTATTTTGGTTTTTTTTACCGATTTCAATTATTTCAAAAAAACTTCGTATAAAATGTTAAATTAAATTTCTTTTTAATAATATTATGTAAGTTTTACAAATGCGTAAGTATTCAAAGTTAAATAATTACAATAATGATCTAAAACTACATCTTAACCAATCAATCAACTATGAAACAATTTCTAAAACTCTTCCATACTGAGTTGGTGAATCCTTTCAAAATTTTTGTCAGGCTCGTTAGACGTTTGATGGTCAGTCCTGAATAAATAAGGTCTGTTATTTTCTTTATCTGGTACATCAATTACAGACATGGAGTCACATTCCAGTTTTAGATCTCGGATCGCCATCCCACGTGCATATCTGCTGTTAACAATTTCTGTGAGTAAGCAACTTTTATAAAAAAGTACTAACTTTGGCTCCATAGTTTTCCAAAAATCATCATCTCTTTCAATATATTTTGTGAAAATTGTTTCATTGTCACCTGACCAAATTCCAAATAAACAAATTTTCCTACCCGTAACAAGCAGCTGGCCCTGAATTTGGTAGTGCTAGTTACTAGGTAGTCTTCTTGTTTACGGTCACTGTGCCTGTTTTTTTTGTCGTATTTGAGAATTTGAATTTTGTATCATCTCCTACCAGTCCGTCCGGAGTTGCACCGATACATGGATGAGTTTGATCGGTAAATAATCCAAACAATTAATTATGACAAGCTTTTTTATTGTAACTCTTCTAAGAGGTAATTAATATATAATGAATCGCCGTCCTAGAACATGCTGAAATTCTTCATTGCTTTTTTCAGGCTCAATAACGTATGAATCGTTATTGTCTTCAGTTGGTCTGAAAAATAAATTCAGGGAAAAATAGATAAATTAAAATTGTAGATGAACCCCCTTGGGTTCATCTACCTGTGAAACTTAACAACTTTCCTAAAGAAACCCATATCGAAATCAGAAAAAAAAAATCGATCTCCCAAACAAAATATGTTACTTGACTGGACAATTTGTATAGCAGAACGATTTTTTTTTAAATTTCGATATGGGCTTCTTTATTTTTAAATAGCTACTTACACATAATTAGTTATATTCTGTACATTGGAATACAGTGTAGTTGTGCTACTGCTGGGCAAATTACTCTGTTGTCTGAAAAATACATTGTCCAATTATTAAAACAGCACTTGTCAGCAAGTAATGAGAGAAACTATAAGGCCTATAAAGCCTATTAAACTATAAAGCTGGCTGACAGTGGTGCGAACAATGGATTTCCATTATCCGCGCCACTGTCACTAATCACGCCAATATTATAAATGGGAGAGTTTGGATGTTTGTTTGTTACTTAATATCCTTCAAAACCACTGCACCGAATTGGATGTTCACAGATAGTATATGACCAGGATTAACTTAGGTACTTTTTACCGGTGTTTATAAAATACATGTGCAGGATGTGGCGAAGATCAATCATTTTATATACCTAATGTATAATATGTAGATGAGTAAAATAATAATTTGTTTTTAAATGTCATTTTTCACTAACACACTTTTCATTGAGGGTTTTTTGTGATCTAAACATGCCTTTGGTCCGTGGTGCTTTTGCACTGAAAACAAAAAAGGTCACAATAGCTACATTCAGTGGTCTTACTGTTATACTTATACTGTGACATATAAAGTAAAAATAAAACTATTGTTTTTATTGTTTTTACGTGAAGTTGCATTTCTTAATTTATTTGTTTTTATTAAAAAGTGAAAATAAATCGACAGATATTCATTCATACTAACATTAATGTTTTTTTTATATAAAACTTTAATCTTAAGCTTACTCGCGATCAATATTTTCGAGATCGGAACGGCGGTGTGCGCGAAAATTAGACACAGAACCTGCTTCGGCAAGGCCCGGCGGGCGACTAGCGTGAGCAGATCTTGCATTCGATTATATATTATTTAGATTTATAAAAAGTAAATAGCAATTTTAAAAAACGAACCGCAGAATTGTTTGTTAAAAACATGCTTGGATATTGTAGTTTAATTTTTATAGTAATTTACGTGGTATTTCGAAAATGAAACGAAATAATAAAACTCAAAAGACCAAAGTTTAGATAAAATTTCTATCGAAAATTTTTTGAAATTTTTATAATTTTTTGAATATTAATGTTTTCAACCGCAGATTTGTAAACCTCATATCCTTAAATTTGTTATGTATTTTTTTTGGTCTTGGAAACTTTAATTAGAGTCCATGAAATTGTTTTGAATATCAGTAATTTACTAATAACCGGGCCTTAAATGAAGACTTAGGTCTTCGGGCATATCGAAGAAAAACAGGACATCGTTTGAATGCTCGTTTAATGGACCTGAGACTAAAGAGATGCCGCGCTTTGTTGAAGCGATATGCGGGAAAAAATATCGGGAAATTCTTTTTTCGGATGAAAAAATTTTTACCGTAGAAGAGAGCTACAACAAACAAAATGATAAGGTGTACGCACACAGTAGTGAAGAAGCGAGCAACCGTATTCCGCGTGTCCAACGAGGTCATTTTCTTCTAGGTAGGTTCTTCTGACTAGGTATTTTGTGTTGTCAACCAAGATATTTCGACTTTGATTTTGGTCTGACTTTCAAAAAAATGGTCAAAAATTATTTTGTGTTCTACTTATATATTTTATTACGTATGAAATAATTAACTTATTTTACGTTGAGTACTTTTCTGGATTAAGTTTGTGTATAAGATTTTTAGCTATAATGTATTATAAAATATTTATATATATGTATATGTGTATGTATATAGGTATTTGTGTGTTTATGTGTATATATGATATTATAAATTTAGTTAATGCGTTATCTTATATACTATATATAGATTATATGTATTAATATATACTTGTTTATCTACTTTTTATGCACACTTCTATATGTTTAAATGAAAATGATCTCCGTCACTAAGGTTTGCTTGGAGGAGATCGCTGATTAGCGATAAGGCCACCTAATTGTACATCAATTTATAAATTTAATTTTGTCGTGTGTTATTGTAGTATATGTTGTGTGCAATAAAGCGTAAAAGCAAACAAACTTTTTCGTAATGCAAATTCAATGTTTTTAGAGCCCCAGCCGCAATCTCATGTCTTTGACAAGTCATATGGTACCTGTTGCAGCTAATCTATCTACGCCTATTATATCCAGAAATAAAGAAAAGGAAAACGTACACAAGGAAAGGTATATTTTATATTAAGCTAATATATATACCATGTGTCCGGTGGTACTGGAAAACGTAGTTAGTGTGCCAACTGGCAAACATAGTTCGCAATGGAGCGTTGTGGATGCACTAAAACGTTTTCCAAGAAGAAGACAAAGGTTTCACTTTTCTTGTGCTTCTAACTTCAAAATATAATTTTACACAATGTTAAGCTAATGTTTTAGTTCGACACCTCATGCGCTATGGACTTTGGACCGACCAATGACTTGTTTACCGAAGATTTACATTAACAAGAATATAGTTGTGGTAGGAGCTAGTCGCACTGGTCTTTCATTTCTTGAAACTTTAATTATGGGGTAAGTTTTTAAAGTTAGATCGGTTAGTATTTATGGATGTAATAACTCGATGGCTTTTTTAGCAATCTAACTACAAACTAAACTTAAACAGAAAGATTTACTATTATAGATACTGGTCACTGAGACAAGGCGTGATAACCTTTTAAGAATTACCTACTAGACTTAAAATACCGAGGAGAGTGACACATCGCCTGTTGATAGATCCAACTTTTAAGTGTGGGAAATACGAACATTTCTAAGATAATGCCAGATGCTGGTGTCCAATTACCTTCGACAGATGGCTGCATCATTATTTCAAAAATTGTAGCGATTTATGACAAGCATATTTTCCATAAATTTCCCAAACTTAAGGGACACTAATGGCAAAATGTAGACGGTTTATAGCCTAATTCATAAGTTAAGTAATCATAATTGTTATCTTTTTAAACCAACAACGCTTTTGAACGTAGACCGACAAGGAGAGAGAGGTTCCGGGTTCGAATCCTGGGTCTGGCAAATATTAGTTACTGGGTTTTTCTGTCATGAAAATTTTACGTTGTAGCGCGGAGTTAGGATGTTGGCGGTGTTTCAAACCCAACGAAAAGTCGTTGGTCCTGCGCTTGATTTCTCTCTAGTCGTGTCGGACTGATGTTCCATCCATGACACTCGTCCATTATAATGGCTAGTCTCCATTGAAACCGGCCGCCGTGAACGAATTCCGTCTGGAGCATATCAATTTTAAAGTAAAATTTAGTTAATACTACTTAGTTTGAGAAAAATATACTTTTATTTTATGTACTTGTTATTCGTTAAGGTAAATGTTAAATCGTTTCGTTTACAGTGGGTCGTTAAAAATAATTAAAATTAAAACAGACATTAAAAATAACAGTAGTGATAAAGAGTGTTAATTACTGATATTACGTCTCCGTATTTTGTAATATTTAGAGCAAGGTTTTTTCGGGATCATCAGATTCCGTACATGTGGCGTCAAAGTACTCACATTTCTGTTTAATTTGCTTGCTCTTATTATTTGAATTCTAGACCCACGTCTCCATACCTAACTTTCACTAACCTAACTCTGGTATCGGAGCATGGACTACCAACGGTAGCGGAGTGTCTCCGTGCTGCGGATACCTGCTTCCCTCGCGACGGTCGCTATACCGATCGTTATCTCAAATGTGTACCTTATTACTTCTACATTGATGTCGTGTCTGCTGTTATGGTACGCATCGACAGGTAAGATAGTTGCCATGGCTAGAATTTATTGAATATTGATAAGTAAAATCAATCAGCATTGTAACTAAGAAGGAAAGACAGGTCTGTTTATAGATAGCTAATTACGTCACTAGTAAAAAAACAACAAGAATTAATGCGCTGCTGTGTCACCATAATGTTCTTTTGATTGTATTAAATAATTAGATATAATATGTAGTGGCTTTAATTTTGTATATATTATTATTCCGATTGTGTAGTTTTTTTTTTTTTTGCGCCCGAAGCAAATATGGGCAACCCTCCGGAAAGCGGGGGAGGGAGGTTGAGAATGCTCATAGCATACCACGCAGCCGGCTGCGTGGTTATGTGGAGACTTTTACCCACTAAACTCAACCTTTTGGTAATTGGCTTAACGATCTGACTAGAGATCTCTAAGCCGTATACGAACGCGACCCTCCTTGGCAGAAAGGAGCCGTTCTATCTTTTCTTTCTTTCTTTTTCTTTATTCTAATACCGTTACAGTCTACCAAAGTTCACAGTTGAACGTCCCTCCACAAAGGTCCCTCCTACAGATTGCCTCATACGGGAGATATTTTCCATAGTTGCCACACGGGTTAGCAAATGCAGTTTTTGAAGTCAAACTTCTTTACGCACGCTTGATTTGGGGAGTAAGCTGGCGAACGCGTGGCGAAAGCGTTACGAAAAGTATGATCGGGCGAGGCGAACGGGAGCTGTGTGGGGGATGTAAGCAAGAGAGGGCAGTGCGCGCATATTTTTCTTCTCTCTTTCTCTCATAGCCAGTTATTTTTCGTATTTTTAATTCGTTAAGAACAATTTTATGAAATAATATTTTATTCAACACATTAAATATTCTATGTTTAAAGTCACAAAAATTTAAAATTAATTTTAAAGTTAATGTTTTGTGAATAAAATTAATATATCTATGTATATACATGTATATGTTGTACACACACACACACACACACACACATATATATATATATATACATATATATACAATATGTAACGTAATTATTGCACACCCTCAGACACCCCAATTAGTATATTATGTTATAATCATAATACATACACTGAATTTTTAGTTAAACATTTTTATGCACTGATTATTTATTAAATTAGTTAAACTAATTCCGGAAGAATATTGTGGTCACAGTACAAATCCACGAACGCAAAGACTTTAGCTTGCTTGAAATAAAGTTCATTTTTCTTTATTTATATTGAATAACAGAATTAGTAATAATACAAATAAAGCTGCACTCTTAAAAGTCTTAGTGCCTTAAGTTACGGTTCATTTCAGTTTGTTTTGACTGTATAGATTTAGTGTGACTGTAATTTACATAGTTTTAATTATTTTTTGGTTATAAAACATTACCTATATTAAAATGATAGGAATCGATTCAGTAAACGATTCTGAACAAACTACTTTCTCAAAGTGCGTTAATTATGTTAAATGTTGTATATTATGTATGTACCGATGGAGCTAAAGAAGTTTTACTTCAGTCGTGTGGTCATAAGAACACTCGTTTTTTATTTTTTAGTTGTCATTAGGAAGACGTTGCTGCCTTTTTGCCTTTACTGGATTTTTTTCCTCTGTCATCTTTTACGACATCTATGCAACACAACGGCATGATATAGGGAAGTGGAAATTTTTACACCGCCATTACACGGTGATATTCTATTACAGTAACATATTTTATACTAGCTCATATTCTCAGATACTTTGTAATAAAAAAAATCCAATATTTAGAGAATTATTTTTGTATTTATTATTTTTCGAATTTTTTTGGTTCTTCCTATTTTTATGCGCAAAATCAACATCATCTTCTACTCTTCTTAATTTCTACCTTCATACTCAAAATCTAATGCTATGTTCTTTTAAAATTTTGTTCATTTGTTTAAGAAAAAAGAAATGCATTCATCTGAAAGGAGGAAGCGTGAAATATTATGACGATTTGGTTTTAACTTGCGGCCAACAGTTCCAGCATCCTGAATATTTGAACCAATTGTTGGAGCGTGACAGGGTGACAAAGTAAGTACTTTGAAATGTCTTTGTGTCGTTAAAGTACACTAATGAAATTCTATATTTTATTTAAGCAATATCTTATAAAATGTAAATATTTATTTGGTATTTCGCCAATTAAAGGGTCTCAAATTCAAATCCTAAATTATAGGGATCAAGATTCTGGTGTCATTATTTGTGCAATATTTTGTTGTTGTTCGGGTCGGACTGTATATATATTTCAAAGAGTTACTAGAAAGCAGTATAACAAATAAAAAAAATTGGTTGCCCTGCCGGCCATCCCTGGAACTTTCCGCTAAATTCAATACCAAAGAGCTCTAAATTCCTAGATTTAGATGTGATTTACAAAAATTAACGCAATTTTTTCAGCTTAACAAAGAAAAACTATTAAAAAATTGATTTCAGTGAAAGTTTCCAAATTATTTTGAAAAAACACTTTTTCGGGATTTCTTTCGACATCTTTCTAACGATATCTCTGAAAGGAATCAACCGATTTTGGTATGGCTTACGGGAATCGACCTCTTTTTTTGAGTACAGGAGCTGATTAGATTATAGAAAAGTAGTCTCTAAACATCACAACGTGAAAAAAAGAATTGATTAAGAAAGAGTGTCGAAGTAATTCCAAGAAAACTAATTTTTTATAATTTAAAAAAACTCCAATTTATGGGGTTTTCTCAGAATCTATTATGATAATTCCGGTCTAAATTCATAGAAAATCTAAGTTCAGCAAGGTTCTTTGATGCTGAAAACCACTTTTCGATCGGACACTCCGTTACAAAGTTATGAGATGGACACACACACATAAACACACCTACATGTACACATATGGACATTAACGCAAAAATAGCCAGAATAGCTTCCTTGGACCTCGAAACGTCGAGCTCTGGTGAGAGCTCGATTTTCGAAAACCGGGGTGAAAACAATAGCTACCTATTTTTTTAAAATCATTGATTTTCATAGTGGAAAGTTAAAAAGTAGTTAATAAATCTGTTGCATTTAATTTTCTACAACTTTAAGATTAAAAATTAATTTTATTCGTTTTTTAATCATCATGTTTATATAATATGTCATCATACTTGAGAGCTCACAATCTTCAAGTTCATCATGGAAATCATTGAGGCGACTTGGGAAAAGAGTAACGAAGCTAGTAAAGCAGGGTGAGAGTCTAGTGCACTTTAACATATTAGTAAACTAACTACAAAAACGTTACATAGAAATTTGCAAATATTGCTTAGGATATTGTATGTTAAAATGTTCGAAAGTGGAATGCAGTGACCTTCAGTCGGCGTTGAATGTCTTTCTGAAGTCTGAATAGTCTGTGCATGTATAATTGACACATAGGTTCTCATTTTATTTTTATTTATTTTTATTTTTAATTTAATTCAGACAAAACATAAAATATGCCATTTTAGCTTTACCCTAATTTTCAGGCAAGATGGTCACTTTAATGTATATCCTATTACCGTGTGTCTATCACTTTCTGTTTCACATATATTACAAAAAACGTATAATCTAACATAATTAAAACAGAACGAAAAACGCCTGCAATAGAGTACCTATGGATAACCCAAAGTACCGGCCGGATTCCGTACCGCCACCACCCAATGTGCCCGATAATATAATGCTTATCAACTCACTTTATGACGCTAACGCTTGTTTGAGGAAATTGCTAAGGATGATTACTGAGTCAAGTATGTTTTATTGTTGTACCTAATGACTTTGTATTATTAATTGAATATAATAAAATAGACAGTAAGTGTGTGATGGAGAAAAGATGCTAAGTGTAGAAGGAGAGGCAAAGGGATAAATATCTATAAAATTTAGGCTTTGATTGTGTCAAAAATTTTTGTTTTTGAGCCTATACTTACTCGTAAGAGGTAACCTTTTTCTTCTTCTGATTCAGAATCACTATCCCTATATTTTTTTCTCTCTCCATGATGAAATGGTAGTCATTTCGTTTTTTTTTTGCCTCGAGGCACGGGTGCTTGTACTGATTAAGCCAAAGCTAACCATATAGTAGTCTGTAGAAGTATCTTACTTAGGGTTAAGATGTAAGACTTATTTTTAAGCGCAGATTTTGTACTAACGTTCAAAAATAAAATACATGTAGCTTGACAGTTTAGATTTTATGAAAAAGCTAATACTTTAAAAAATGTAAAAATAATTGTTTGTTTTAAAAATTTTCTTTTGCTTTTTTATAAAAAATAAACGGCAAAATTGTTATCAATGATTTATTGTCTTACATTATTAGCTATCAAACGAGTCCTCTTTTGTCTTCCTAGGACTTCTACATGAGTAGCTATGGCTTAATCAATAGAAGCACCCGTGCCTCGAAGCAAAAAATCGAAATGGCTACCGTCAAAAAAATAGGGATAGTGATTTGTCGATAAAATTTTCCGTATTTCAACCCTCCAAAGTCTCCGACATCGATGACCATACAAATTGTAGGTGTCACGCTTGCAGAGGTTGTTAACCGCAGTTTTTTTATATTAAAATGTAAGGTACGTGGGGGTAATATTTATACCTTAAGCTTTGCCGCCCTATAAAACCATAACTAGGAGGAGGACAGAGACAAAAACGCAAAGTCGTGTACTATAACTAACATATTAAGAAAAAAAAAATAGCAAACAAGCTTTGATAATAATTAACAACACGTCGAGAAATGAATTCAAAAAGAACTAACTAAACTACACAATACTAAAATTGACTAAAATATTTACTATAATGTCTACTGTCAAAATGGTATCGATACATCACCACCCTTTTGACCCTTTATTATTTGATGGACTGATGAAGAGCCATCGTATCACGTAGTTTTTGACTTATAAGAAAGTGACCATATTAACCGGTAGACCATATTACCCTCACGTACTATAATTGTAATGTTATTGTTAGGAATATGTTGCTGCCCATTTCCGATTGAAGACTGTCTCTATTATCCAATGGGTGGAAGTACGCTGCATCTACTACCCATTTATTATATTATGGTACCTGTATTATGGTCTTGTCGTGTTTTAGGTGGCAGGGCTCTTTCCCGGCATAAGGTTTCGTCTGGGAGAAAGCAATCTTACTTATTAATCAACAGTGCATACACTGTTATGTTAGTCTGGAGTATAAGCAGAGTCGGTATGATTACATACTGTTTCGGTTGGATATTCCATTTTGGTCCTCAATGGTGCATCTGTTATCTTTTTACTTAAAGTTAGTTTTATTTGACCATGGACTGAAGTAGCCACATATTATTAAGTACCTTATTTCGTTGACATTCATCTTAGTAGGTTGCTTGATGGAATCTTTTACGTTGTCGGTACACGATATACCTTTTTGTTAAACTTAACTTTATGTTTATGATATTGTAAATTATGCTTTGTGTGGAATTAACAAATCATTCTGTGAGTAGTTCAATCTTTAATACTGACAACTTTGTAATTCTTGTTAGATACTAGCTAGGTATTTAACACAATTTTTATTTCATATCCTTACAGAAGAGTCCATAAACTCTTTAAGTGTGAGTAGAAAAATAATTGTATATGGCGACTGCATAGATGCGTACTCATGTATTGCAGCATTACTTGAATTGGGTATTGCGGCAAATATGATAGTTTTTGTAGAACCATTTCCCCCCGAAGACACTGCAGCTTTGAGAGTCAATTGCTTCAATAATGAGCTCGTAAGTATCATCTTCTTTATCATCAGTTCAGTTCACTGACAAGTCTGTCTAATTGTAGGTAATATTTGATGTAGAAAGAGTATACTCGTAGGAGTAAGTGTAAGTTCTAGAACAACCGCGATTGTTTCGAATGCCGTCATACAATTTGAGACGCATTGGTTTTGAAGTCGGGACTCGTATCCAAAATAATTTTTTAAAGACTTTAAAAATATGATATAATATGATTTAGAAAAAAGGAATAACATGCCTAAATATAAAACTTATGAATTTATAATTATAAATAAAACCAGTACAACAAAACGGAAATATCATAGGTTACCTAGGTACCTAATACTATAATCCAAATATGACATAGGTAGATACAAAATTTTAGTAGTAAAAAATCTAATTCAGATTGTTTATTTCATGAGATTAACAACAATCGCTTTGACATGTCTTATCTATGAATTTATTAAAAAAAAAACGACTAAAAAGGAAAGTGCATAATGAAAATAGTTGAGAACTTTTGCTTTTAGAAAGTTAGTGATATATAAATGTGTTGAAGCAAAAAGTTTACTTAATAGAAAACTTTTCCTGGGTGCACTTCCATTTGTAGTTTAGAGTTTGCCTTTCCGGGATAAATCAGTGACAGTTTCCCCTGCTTTCGCGGTGCTATCATTTATTACTATATTTTTTACCGAAAACCGGGATGATATGGATGATAATTTATCAACAATATAAGCCACGTAAACAAGCAGTAGAAGTAAAAGGTTCGCAACGCATCTCGAATGCCCATGGTGTTGTAGTTGTTCATGGTAGTTACTTACCATTAGGTGAGCCGCATGCTCGATTGCCTCCTCTCCTATAAAAAAAAACTTTGTGCATAGTCATTCGCTGGGCAGGTGGGTTGGTGACCGCAGAAGTGATACTCTCTCGTGTAACAAAATGTTATTCGCCGTGATCAGTCTGTGAATTTTAGGTTTAACGCTTTTCGGGTGTATTGTCCGCAATAAATTCGTATTTTAGTAATAATTTAATTATTCTGCATCTGTATAGATTAGAGAAAAAAATATTTCTTTTTACATTTTTACATCTGTCTGTTTAAAAATTTTATTTTTTGATTTGACTTATATTGGTCCTACCTGCTCTGTATGCTCCTTTGAATCCGGAAAGTTAGTAATTGTAGGTTTTACTTTTAATTAGTTAGCTTAGCGTTAGCTTGCTATTTTATTTTAATGTTGTCTTAAACTTTATATTTAATACAGGTCGATGAGAGGGTTCAATTAAGCTTAGACAAACGTGGAATACAAGTATACAGACAATGCTATTTCACCGAATGGGTATTGTCGGGCCCGCGAGTAGATATCCTCCGTTTTATGACGCCTACGCAAGTGATCAATATTTCTTGTTTCGCATTTTTCTACTATGGAATCAAAGCCATTGATGTCAATTCTCTTAAAGGTGATTAATTTGATTTTTACTATATCGAAAACTTTACTAGATGGTCCTTTTCCTGCTTAGGAGTCGTTTAAGTTGGTGTACCTGCTGTGTTTCGGTTTGTTCAGTATAGTTATAGATTACAAGGCGTTTTGGCTTAGGTTGGAAGCATTTGTGGTAGAGTGAAACCTTAGTTCGCTATCGACAGGGTATCGGAAGAAGACATGAGAAGATTTATGTTACTTAGTGATATATGAAATCGACTGTTATTAGTGATATTTCTATGAGGTGTGATGGTTGTCCTTATGTGCATATGATGATAATTATAAGATAACTTTGAAAAGAGGTTACTGAATTTCTCAATTTTTTTGACCTGGCATCCCTCTGCTATAACGTACGAAAATATGTATGTATGTGTAGCTTTTTTTGCAAATCAAATTGTTTATTTGCAATCCAGTTGTACACAATTGGTTTTAAATAAAAAAATGTGCTTACAACTTAGACGCCATTATCAGGCACTGCAAATTTGACAGAGATACTGCTTATACACAAAATATAAAATATACCTACTTAGATACTAGATAAATATAAAAATAAATAGTAGTGTTATTTTATGATAGGGATTACCTCCAAGGGGTTTTTGTTTTAAATACATACTGAGGCTTGATTGAAATTTGGTTAATTCTGATATGTTTTTTATTTCCTGTGGTAATTTACTATAAACTTTTACTGCCATATAATAGGGGCTTGTATTTAACATTTTTGTTCGTGACTGTGGCAGGTATAATTTATTTTCATTACGTATATTTCTATTATGTGTAGGTATCTTTAATCATCTTGAAAATATTACTATTTTTGTGGAAAAACAGGTATAGATCAAAAATGTACATACATGGTAAGGTAAGAATATTAATTTTTTGAAATACGGTCTACAGCTAGTGTTATCTATCTGTGCTAGTATTCTAACGCACTTCTTCTGGGTAATAAATAGCTGCTGAGCATCGTCGCTACTTCCCCACAACAGTACACAACAGGTACAAGTAACAACATAGTAAGCTGATAATACCTGGCTGTGTCGGTGGTGTATTTAATTTTAAATAAAGCATACATAGGTACATTTTGATATCTTAGACTTTAAATAATTAATATGCATTTTCCAATTGATGTTTGAATCTACTGTCAAACCTAACATTAAAAGTATCAACTTTTCTAGCTGGATATTATTAAAATTAATGTTTAAAATTAATATACTGCTTTTATATGTTTTAAATTGCATAATTTTTCTTTTAAGTTCATTTCTAAGTTGTGATCTTCAAACCAATTTGTCACAGTTAGTAGAGTGTTGTAGATTATAAAGTTATAATTTGTGTTTTTATCGCAGTTAACTTACACTGACACATCGTCAGCAAAGAGTACGTTTAATGAGCTTTCGTTATTTATTTATTATCTGATGTAGGCTTTTTTGGTCTATTAAGCCATCATCGATGCAGTTCCCTATCGTTGGTTTATGGATGAATATTTTTTATACTTAATATGTGACAAGCAAGAGTATACTGCCATTTATTGAAAGTAATAAGACCTTTCTTCAGCATAAATTTTCTCCGATAGTATGACTTCAGTTCAAAGGGACGATGAATTGTTTCACGCTAATAACACGTGGCGGATCCCTCGGGGAGAGTAAATATGGGTTGTAGTGTAACGTGGCTTAGTATATCTTTTTCTATCAAGTAGCAATGTTGCCGGATGGTGGTAAATAAATTTTTCACGTGATAATTGTTGTAGCTTGTAAATAGGTGGGCTCATTAAGGCCCGCCATACATTACATATAGAATTCCGTTTCGGAATCCCGAAACGGAACGAACGGTTCTGTCACATACAGACGGAATCCCGTTTTGGCCGCAAAATTCCGTACGGAAAATTACCGTAGATATGTGATGAGTCCTCCGGGCCTAAGGCCCGCCACATACATACGGAATTCCGTTTTGGGATTCGGTTTCGGGATTCCGAACGCAGCATGTCCATATAAAATCAATGACTCATCACACACGGTAGTTTTCCGTACGGAATTTTGCGGGCAAAACGGGACTCCGTATGAGTGTGGCCGACCCGTTCGTTCCGTTTCGGAATTCCGAAATGGAATTCCGTATGTAGTGTATGGCGGGCCTTAAGGAGACCTTATTGCAGAATTTCATTATAAGATAAAAGCACAACGCTGTCACCTTCTGTATGGTTGCAGACGGATGGTAAATAATGCTTGTGGTGTAGTCGTAGCGTAGCGTAGCCTGGTGCTAGTCAGATACTTGTCTACTGTACTGCGGGCTACGCTTTGAATCCCAGCCGAAACCAGAACAGGACTCAAACATTTTAGCATAAAACGTATTGTTAGTTTTCGGGGTTGGTTGTGTTGACTGTTGATTTTTTTTTATAGAATAAAGGTTATTAACGTGCACACAGTCCACGTGATGGCAAGTGGGTTCTGTAGCTCACAGACATCTACATTTTTGCCCTCGATTAAGAATTAAAATGCAGATGCGTTGTCACTCTGGACTAAGATGAAATACCTCGTTTCCAGTAAAATGGGTCTCCGGTTCTCTCTCTCACCATACAAAATACAGGAACAATAAGTTACTATTTTACGCTAGTACTTATAGCACTACAACTTTCTTCAGGGGTTAATATCATCAGGTTATTTGAAAGTTAATCGTCGAGTATCGAGCAGTATGAAACGGAAGACTGTATATATCTTTGAAGTAACTTCTCAGACAGCAGGTTTCCTCAAATTGATTTCCTTTACTGCCAACCACGTGAAATTTTAGATTCTTAAAATGGCAATTTTAAATTTAGTGTTATCAGCGGGTATCGAACTCGGTTTTGATACCTTTGCTGAGATCTCGCTTACGAAAAAATCGTGGAGGACGTGTATAACTTGAAATCCGCATTGGATCCGCACGGTGGGCGTTATCATGTTTTACCCCCCTCAGAAATGTAAAATATTCGTCGGAAATTACTTTAACTTTAAAAAAATTACAGCAATAACGGACAGCGGTTTGGTGTACGACGGTGGTTTGATCGTAGGGCCGAGCTTTGAGAGCAACGACCCGAGCGTTTATGGTGCCGGCCCATGCACTAGTTATTCGCGGCGGCTGCATGCGAGTACTTTCGCGCACCGACACTATTGCTCCGAAGATGTCGGTGAGGCAGTAAGTACTATGTAAAGTGCAATCCAAGTTTAATGGCGGCTGTGAAGTTAGGCGCAAGTCGTTGAGGAAAAACAAATTTTGCTGCGCAGGTGCAGAAGTTCGCGCACGTGTACATCTTAAGTACAGTCGAGTTCATAGTTGATTTTTTATTTTTTGGATATTATTAATGTTTGTTGTTGATCTTTATGTACTCGCACTCGTTTTTATTAAATGTTATAGTAAAGCTTTTATATCAACTTTTGTATAATTGAAGTAAACATTGACTTTTTTAATTTAATTTACTAATTCTATCATTTATTAATTATATTAAAACATGCAGCTGATAATGGATATTTTTAAATGCAATAAAATTAAATAAATTTATTTCTAGATCATTACAATATTAAGTCGTTTAAAGAGTTCCCGTAAAAAACCACGATAGCGCAAAAAATTGTGTACTCTAAAATTAGTCGTTGTGCTCCGTGTGACTTTATCTGATGTCATTCACCTATCGATTGGAATTAGTCTATTCCCGTTTTGTTAACGACACCAGATAAATGAACTTGTAAGTCAATTTTAGACTTTCAGAATAGATTGGTAATCGCTAACCGGCGCAATAGTTGAACAAGTGATATTGGTACGCTGTTGCACGACATTGAAAATGCTACGCATCATATCGTTCGTGATTTTATTGGCGTTTATTGGTGAATTGGTCTTTCCATAAACGCTAAAGTAACTGACCCTGCTAAGTAATAAACTGACTGCATCGAACGATTGTAGTACCTTATGCAACTTTACAAAGACACTGCTTTTAACTTAAGTTGGGCTACCTTAATATCGTAAGCTAGGTACTTGAGGTGGCGGCGTAAGAACATTGATTATCTTTTTTGTGATGTACACGAGCCGAAGACAGAAAATGCTAGAAAGATCTAATGACATACGATAGATGGCAGTAAAACCATTCCGTATACCACAGACGTTAAAAGTGTGAGACTTCCCATACTGCGATCACAAAATTGCCTGTCGAGTTTGGCGATTATGGCAAATTCTCCCTATAACGTGAGAGGTCCAAGTTCAGGCGTGGACTTTGATGAGATGAAGAATATATATATATATATATATATATATATATATATATATATATATATTCCACTCGGTAAAAAAGGTCATCCAGTGTGTAGGAAGTTCAAAGTCCAAAGGATTCTCCTGATATATCCCTGAATCTACATGTTAGTATAGAGCGATGGATTCTTTGACTCTGTTACAACACTGTTTATGCAACAACTTAAAACTTTTTGAATTAAAATGACGTATCAAAATTAGTGCAATAATCGACTTTGTGAATTTTACAGCTTGCTGCACTTTTCCTACAGAAATTAGACCCATTCATAAGTGCTAATCCTGATGTCGAAATAGGTGAAGTCATATTGCGATACAGTTCGAATTTTTTGGGGTAAGAGCATCGATTCTTTATATATGCCGAATGTAAAAAAATAATATATTTTTTAAATGATTTAAAGTGATTCGTTATTCATAGGTGTAAAAGTTCTGCGACCGGAAGCTATAGAAGCGATTTACGACTTTCACTTGGTACGAATCGAAGGTAAGACGATTTTATTTCTTATTCTGATTAAATATAATAAAAAACTTCATTTGCTCTTTCTATACACCAATATAATTGAAACAATTTTTCATATATCATTATAATATGCAAAGGAAGTTTGAAATAATAATGTCCTTCATAACGAATTTTGGTCACGGCGGCCAGACTCAACAAGAGACCAGCAATTTGCGCAGGACACGATTATACTGCCCGAGTGTTTGCACAAGTGCACTATTTCCACGCTCTCATAGTTCGATGGGACGGTTATCCGACACGACCGGAGAGAGATCAGGTGCAGCATCAACGGCTTTACGTGCTCTCCGAGGTACGGGGGTGAAACAATGCCGTGAAACTTCTTGACTCTGTACTGCTACTGAGAATTTCTTGACAGAAAAATTAGCAACAACGTTTACCACCCCAAGATCAACGAGGCAGTCAAAAGTGAAAGTTGAAACAATATTAAAAAAACTAATACAATTTTTACTTTAGGTGGCAACCTGTGATGAAATTTCAATCGCCGATTGTATATTCAGCTACACTACCTGGACCTCTTTATTATTTAAAATTAAGGAAGCCAGGTATTGAGGTACCGATGGCTGTTGAGATGTGTTTACCACGCCAGGTACTAGAAAGATTTAGTTAAAAGATTCATTATGTTAAGGATTTTCTCAAGTGAGTTTTACCTACTAAATATTTTTATGAACACACATATGTACGTATAAAGCAGTATAGCGAGTTAAGATTGTTCATTGCTGGTAATGTTACTTCTTATCACCAGTCTTGTGATTTGACTTCGATGTATTTTATGATTGCTTATATTATACAACACATTGAATAAATAAAACAAATTTTACAGAATTTATCGCGTTTATTGTTTACTTTTTAATTCCCGACGTTTCGTGTTGTTTACAACAGCCATGGTTACTAACCATAAGTCGCCGAAATGTATAAGGCAGTTTTTACCATACGTCAAGTGTAATATTCCTCTTCAGGATGCATAAGTGTACAAACTCGATTATAAATGTGGCCTCTCTCACATAGGATAAACAAAAAATAGATTAATACGCGCGTGAAAGAAAATGATACAGCTGATGTGAAGCAACGAGGCGCCGGGAAGTCTGCAGATTGTGAACATGTTCGGTATCGTCTCCGCTATTACCACATCCTTCCAACAACTGATCAAAAAAAAAACGTCCAAATTTCAATAGAGAAGATGGCTGGCTACCATCTGATTGGGATCGCATCCTTAACCCATTGAACGCCATCGGCGATTACAAACGACAAACGTAATTAACCGCTAAAACGCCAACGACGAATTTAGGCGCCACATAGATGTGCTACTTTATAATTTTATATTATAGATCTTTCTATTAATCTTATATTATAGATACAGTGAAAAGATATATATTTTTTTAATTTTGTCATCTTCTCCGTATGTCACTTTATTAAATTGAAGCAAAGTTAAGCTTAATCTTGGTAGTATTCGTTCCAAATTTGAACTTGTTTTAGGCGAAGATTAGACCTCAAAATATACGTTCACCAGACGCCATTGTCGCTTTGAAGCGACACTAGTGATAGGGTAATTCAATCTTTTACAGTTTACAAGAAGATTATGCTAATTGAACTAAAAAAAACCAATTTCATTGAGGAATTAGTGTTACTTTATTATTAATACAATTAATATACGTCATCATGATCATCAGCCTGCGGCAGTCTTAGAGCAGTAGCCCGATCTTCGGCTTCACGCATCCCAGTTGCTGCCAGTCGCCTTGGGCAGATCGTCGCTCCGTCCAGCCAGGGGGCGTCCACACTACGTTTACCTAAACGCGGTCTCCACTCTATGACATGCCTACTCCAACGATTATTGCTTCTGCGACAAATGTGACCAGTCCATTGCCACATATACATCATACAAATATTAAAATCAAATTAATAATGTTAACCTAGATACATTAAAAACATCGATTTATCTATGGTCATCAAGTAGTCTCGTAATTGATTTGGAACTATCCTTCATTCGCGCCCTCGCCGTCGTCGCTTTAGGGGGTCAATAGTGACCTGTTGAATTTAGTTTCCGACACAACATCCGAAACAACATCGAATTATGAGTGAAAATTATACGTATTATACAGATCTGTAATAGTTTGCTTTTGCAAAACAACAGTTTGCTATAAATGTTCTTTAATTCCATTACCACATCTCTAGAACAGCCGCGTTTTCTTTAAAACTGTACGCCATAGCCATTGTCGCTTTTAGGCGTCAAGTAGTGACGTCAATTTCATTTTAGTGGTGCGCTTTGTTCGATAAAAAATTGTTTCAATGGAGTTTAAATATGAAAACTGGTTTGTTAATTTGATTACTTCGTTTATGTAGTTCATTAATGATACAATTGCAACATTTATTTATTAAATTAAACACCTTTATACTTGGGAAATCGACTACAGTAGCAAGATTGATGTTATGACCCCATCACTAGCATTTTGTGGTATTTAATAGTAAATAAATGGCTTGGCGTAGAGAGCATACTTTCGATGCACTGCACTTGGCGTTCAAAGGGTTAATAAAATTAAATAGAAACTTTAGTGTACCACCATCACTGTAGGTTTTTAAGATACTCTGTTAGCTCGGTTTACATTGATCGGATTAAATTTAATTTTAGAAGCTGAGTGTAGCCCGATTTAACTATCCTTTCCGTGACCATGGGTGTTCTAAAGCGGCTGAAAAAGTAAAGAAAAAGCTCGATAAATTCTGTAAAATTTGTTTTATTCGTTTACTTTGAAAAATAATGAGTTAATTCCATTAAGGGGATAGAGTAAGTCAGCTCAAATTCTAATTTCGTCCCCACTTGCCCGCGCGTCGTATGCTATGTACCGACGTGTTTGTAATCACTAATACTGTAAGTAGAAAGGTCGTTAGACACTTATTTCATTAGGTTTATCATATTTATGCCTCTTTCTTAACGTCAAGCCAGTCGCTTCTTATTTTTATTACGGTTATTTCCCATTTTAATTTTACGTCGTCCTGTTGCGTAATGTATATTCTGATCGTAAGCGACACAACCTCCCCGTTCAAAGGCCGAAGCGAAGTGACCGTGCGGCAGGAATCACGCTTCAAGAGGCCGATAGTTTAGGTAATTTCTTTTTTACAGTGAAAATAATGGTATTTTAAAAAAAGTAAATAACATAAGCACTGCTTTATAGTTAGTTCAGTTAGTATGCAAAGTTTCATGATCTTATTTAAAGTATTTTATGAATAACAGCGGTTTATTGTTTATTTTGGAGGTAACTTTGGATTTTTTTCTATCGAGAAAATTTTACGAAATCGTGTTTCGTCGTCTAACATAATCCTTAACATTAATCCTCAACTTTACCATATATTTATTTCAAAGTTAATGCTTCAATATTTTCGGCATAACGAAGGATCTTGCTAAGCCATTTGAGATTATATTTCCCCTTAAGAATATATAAACGTAGTGTTTGAATATAAGAGCCTGTCCAGATGAGGCGTTTCAATTTATATTACGTCCAGATATCACGTTTTACGCGCGTTACTTCCGCTGGGAGGGATTCAGTTATAAAATTTTTTTGTTAACGAAGGCAAACTCCCTTGGGCAAGATAAAATAATATAGTAAAATTAATTTTGTCTAAGAAAAAATATTATTAAATAAACTATTGTTTACTTAACTAAAGCTTTTTTCTTTTCTTCCGAATTGCCAGGCTCACAAAAAATTTTGACTATTTCTTCCCAGTTCCTACCTTTTATTATTCTATTGGAATAGTCTGAAGATGCCATATCCCATATGGCTACTCTTTTTCAATTTCGTCTATAAAAAATTCGGTATCGAAGTTATCACTCTCCATTTTGTAGTACGTCCACACGCTACGGATTCGCGCGTATTACTGGACGAAGTAATGGTGCCTGAGTATCTCGACTCGCGCGGCGCTCATGCATAGAACGCGCGAGTCAAGTCTTGCTCAGTACCAGCGTTTTACGCGCGAGTAAGTAAACGCGCGTTATTATCTGGACGGAATATATGCAGCTCTAGTACCTCGGGAACGCACGAGTGTCTAAAACGTGTGTAAAACGCCTCATCTATACAGGCTTTAAAACTATGATTTTAGTCATTATTTACAGCCTATTAAAAGCTCACTACTAAACATAGCCCTCTCCCAAAGACTGCTTTACAGAGAGGATATTTATCATAGTTGCCACGCCTGGGAAGCAGGCAACGGTAGCTTTATATTATTTTAGGTTGGTATCATCAACATGCTGCTGATTGTCTCCTGTTTCTGTTTTTCTTCGAGACTCCTCCACTTATTCCGATATCGGTCAGTTATTATTTTATCAGGATCTCATATGGCAGTCAGAATTTTTTTTATAGGATAGAGTGACAAACGAGCACACAGTTCACCTGATGGTAAATGGTTGTTGTGGCCCATAAACATCTACATCAATCCTCGATCACGAATCAAAATACAGATGCGTTGTCACCCGTGAGGACTAAGATGGAATGACTCATTTCCAGTAAAAAGGGTCTTGGGTTCTCTCACTCACCATACGAAACACAGCAGTATTGAGCTACTATTTTATGGTGGTATTCTGTGAGAGCGTAGTCCTTCCGCGGTCGAGCTGACCCACTCGTGCTACAACTATACTATTAATATAACTACAGCATGGTTCTACCACGTGAAAAAATTCTGAAAAATTGTTAACACCTAATTCTCAATTATCAAACAGCATTCTTACAGATTTTTCACTGTAAACTTCTTTATGCTTTATTTGTATACAGGGTCATATTTTACAAACCGACAAGGACGGGAACTATTTTCGATTGCAACTGAATACGTTGCACTGCGTAATGTCATTGACTTGTTTATCTAAGAAACCTTTTTCATCGGAAAATATTGTCCAAATCTACGGAAAACACGAAGCATTCTTCGATAAACTCCTGGTTAGATATCAGGTGAATAAGTTTAAAGTTTATAGATCTTGTTTAAAGGATTAGAAAAAATTGAGATATATATATATATATATAAACATAAAAAAAAAAATACAAAGAGTTAAAATGAGCGCACACTTCTCTGATGATAGGTGTACGCTGTAACCAAACTTGCTGTAATGAAGAGTACTAATGCGTTGTTAACATCTATCTCATTATCAGTCATAAGTGTCTCTGGTATTCGTCACTCACCATTGAAATACAGCAGCATTTTGTTGGTATTTTACGCTGGTAAACTGTCAAGAGTACCGTGAAGTGGCGATGTAAGAATATCCAACGTCCTATAACATCCCGTGTGCGTCGTAAGAGGCGACAGAGGGAAACTCAACCATAAGATGGGCTGCAGCATCTTCCTGATAACAACGGAATAAAAAACTGCGGTTGCCAACCAGCTTGCCAAGCGTGGCTAATCTGGCAAATATCCCCCTATGGGGCAATTTATGGGGGAGGCCTATGTAAAACAGTGGACTTATGTAGGCTGCAATGGTATGTAATGGTAAACTGTCGAGACCACGTTTCTTTCCCGACGCTTTTGTTTAGGAAGAGAGCCCTTGCCTGGTCAAGCAAATACTACCATTGATGCTGCATCCATAATGCAACTGAAGCATAGCTTCACCACGTAAAACTTTTCTTTATTCTATGCAACGTTCCGTTTTATTATGTTATTGGTACATTAAATTTGAGGTCGAAAAAATTGCTTAATATTTATTTATTTATACTTTCATGCACAAAAAGGTACATATGGCGGACTTAATGCCATAGGGCATTCTCTCCCAGTCAACCATTTCTCTCCCAGTCAACCATTCATATTTTCCGCATTCCATAATATTTAATATTTTTGTTTTTATTATATTAAAGATGTATTTCAGTTTTATGTCTATTATTTCAGTTGAAGCAGATAGATGATTTGTACGACTTTTTCGCTCAAACATGGATGTCCGCCATGTACCATATGAGTTTTGAGGATTTATTATATGATATTGACCATCAAGATGTTGGCACAGTGAGTACTTGTGATTTAAAAAAAAAAGTGGCTGTCATACAGCTGGGCTAGTGTTCGTAATCATGATACTTAATGATTATTGTTATAAATGTTAATTGAATAATATTATCACTAATATTTCTTTTTTCAAAAAGTATATCATACTAGGTAAACTACATAAATCGTTATTAGATTCAACTACTTTTACGGATTTTATCGCGTTTATTTATGTTATTTTTAATACCCGGCGTTTCGGGTGCTTTCCAGCACCCATGGTCACGGGGGACTGAGGTGACTGACGTCCCGATGTCAAAGTTAACCCGGAGTACCTTCAGCTTTTTAATTATTGTCTTTGGTCCGATCTACGCAGAATGAACTAACTGTGTTTTGAAGTCTGGCAGTGGTATGCATGGGTTTAGTTTTAATTTTATTAATTATAGGGTCCCACGCAGGTGGTAGTACCCAGCCTCTTTCTCTATTGAAATTAGGATGTTTTTTAATTTCAATAGCCTCACGTATCATCCTTGGTAGGAATCGATGTTCTTTCGCGAGGATTTGTGGTCTATCAAATCTGATGTAATGGTCGGGGCAAATATGATCGCAAACTGCAGACTTCCCGGAACGTTGATGCTGTCAGCTATGTGTTCTTTTACGCGGGTTCTAATTGATCTCTTTGTTTACCCTATATATGAGAGACCACAATCACAATCAAGCTTGTACACTCCTGCATCTTGTAGAGGAATATGACGCTTGACGCATCCATCAAGCGTGGTAAGAACTGACCAATCTTTTTCGGCGGCTTGTAGAATGTTCTAATAGACGCTCGCTTCAAGATGTAGCCAATCTTGTCTGTGACACGTCTGACATATATTAGTACAGCAGGCACACGCTCGACTGTGACCGGCTTCACTTGGTGACTGTGACGTAGGCGCGGGACCCGAAGCTTGTCGTGCAGAACCTGCTTGAAATGCTGAAGCTCGGCCGCCAGGTGTTTGCTGTCACAGATCCCTCGTGATATCTGTAACAAAAATTTGCCCACGGTAGGTAACCTTGAAGGATGGTAAGATTCACCATTTAAATATCGGTTTGTATGGGTCTTTTTTCTATACACAGTATGACCTATGGTGTTGTTAGGATTTCGGATGACTAACACACCTAGGAAAGCTGAGGAATTATTTCCCTCTAACTCCATAGTAAATTGAATTTTAGAGTTTATGGAATTAAGATGTTCTAAAAATGCTGTTACTTTGCCTGATGGTAAAATTGTGGAAGTATCGTCTACGTACCGCTTGTAGAATCTTGGGGTAACAGGTGCAGTAGGGAGGGCTTTCTCCTCAAATTCTTGGTCTTCTCAATCGGGGATACAGGTCCATCGCAACACCATCTACTTGCTTGTAGAATTCTTCCTTCCACAATAGATAGCCAGAATACGAATTACATGTAAGACAATGTCTTAGTAGTACTGCATATTCTGGTGGCATGTTATTTTCATGTAGTTTCCTAGTTATAATTGAGATACAGTCTTTAACAGGTAGACATGTAAATAGAGACTGCACATCCAAACTGACCATGGTTTCATTGTCAGTAAGACGTAGATCTTTTATCTCACTGACAAAATGGTATGAATACTTACTTCAAAACACAGTTAAAAAGCTGAAGGTACTCCCGGTTAACTTTGAAATCGGGACGTCAGTCACCTCAGTCCCCCGTGACCATGGGTGCTGGAAAGCACCCGAAACGTCGGGTATTAAAAATAACATAAATAAACGCGATAAAATCCGTAAAAGTAGTTTGAATCAATGTATAGTAAATATAAGAAATCAATCGTAATTAGATTAGTGTTTTATATTACATTAGTTAGATATAATGCTCTAATAGTGGATTATGCGTTTGAATTTAAGTTTTTTAATTTCCGTAGTTTCTGAATAATAAAAGTTGTTCGAGAATTAAAAAAAAAGTTCAAATTAAACGCGATAAAACCCGTAAAGTTACATCGTTTTATTCTGTGTATAGTTCCTAAATCAATATTACGTTTTTAATTGTACTAGGTACTAATTTGTAATTTTATGTTTTAATATTCATTATTTTCGAAATTGCATCTTAATACATGTGTTTTAATTATCTTATTCAAGGTTTATGGTCTTTTAAAACCAAGGTTTTCGTTTTTCGATGATCATGGGAAGTCAATGCTAGAAGAAACGTGTTCTGACATACCTAGTTGTGGATGTGGACCTGCGGTAAGTATAATCATTTCATGAATATTTACGCTTATTGAAAAGACTTGCCGACGAAGATTAAGCATCCCTTATAGTTATCAAATTTTAAACCACTTTTTACGCACCCTACACATCATGATTGTCGAAGCTTATGTTGTTATATGTTGAGTTTTATAGTCAACTGTAATAACTTATAGAAAATAATCATTTTTATTGAAATGTTTGATTTCTTTGTATAACGGCGCCTCTACACGTTGGCCAACACAGTGGCGAATGCAGTGGCGAAGATATTGGCCGAGAGTTGGTGACGGCGTCCACACGTTGGAAGGTCATTCATTTTACTTCGGTTCAGGCTAATTTGCACTTTTTTTTTTTTTTTGTCGCCCGAAGCAAATATGGGCAACCCTCCAAAGCGGGGGAGGGAGGTGGTGAATGCTCATAGCATACCACGCAGCCGGCTGCGTGGTTATGTGGCGACTTTTACCCACTAAACACCACCTTTTAGGAAATGGCTTAACGATCTGTGGAGATCTCTAAGCCCACCACCCTCCTTGGAAAAGAGGGCGCATCGGTTCAGGCCAATGTGCGGACGAATTTATTATAGACAGCTCCGTGGCGCAGTGGCTCAGCAATGAGTGGCTGCGCTGGGGGCTGCGGGTTTGAATCCCGCACGGAACAAGTACTTGTATGTGCTACAAACAATTGTTCCGGGTCTGGATGTGTGTCCTTGTGCAATTTATGATTGTGAGCTGGCTCCGTAATCCGTAATAATAATAAAAAATAGTGAATATTAATGGGGCTGTAAATAAATATACGATTAGCTTTATTTATTCTTTACATGCATCATAAACTGGAATAAATACCATTAATAAGAACTTAACTTATTTTAAAGTTAAAGAGTCTAAAAAGTCTATGCTTTAAAATTGGGTTTTGATTTTAAAGTTTAGCAAAATATGTACGTGCATTTCTATCAGACATTTGATGTATATAAAAAACACCTTATAATTTATTTGGTAATTTAATTATTTTTTGAGAAAGACAAAAACAATAGCAATAAAAATATAATTAACACTGACTTAATAATAGGTACTAATTATAACTTAGAACATAAATGAAAAACTCATGACAAGGAAAGTGGCTCAGGACCATGCTTTGCGGCAGTCTGTGGAGGAGGATGTTCAGTAGTGGACTTGTGAAGAGCTTAATGATGATGATGATTCGAAAACTTGCACGATTAAATTATAAGAAATCGACGCTTTTTATATAGGATAGGGTGACAAACGAGCACACAGTTCACCTGATGGTAAGTGGTTACTGTGGCCCACAGACATCTACATCTATCCTCGATTACGAATCAAAATGCAGATGCGTTATCACCCGTGATGATTAAGATGAAACGTCTCGTTTCCTTTAAAAAGGTTCTCTGGTTCTCTACACTCACTATACGAAACACAGCATCATTAAGCTACTATTTTACACTGATATTCTGTGAGAGCGTGGTCCTTCCCCGGTCGAGCCGACCCATTCGTGCTACAACTATACTTCTAATATAACTGCATGGTTCTTTTTTTAACGACATGCTTCATTTTTTTCATTTTAAATTGTTCTCGTAATAATCTGATTGTAAATAAATGTTCATTATTTTTTTTTTTGATAAATAGCTTATCGATTAACACATATGTTTAGAAATAATTAAATCACGCTAATTAAAGTAGTAGGAATATTTAAAGTTGAAATTGGCACTAAAAGGCTGGTAATTGGAGCATCCATCCTACAAAGCGTGAATATAAAATTTAAATCAGGTGCGTGTAAGCACTCTGGGAGCTTGTAGCAAACTAAACGCGCGCCCAACGTGTGGACGCGGCGGCCAAACTCTGCCAACAATCCTTTGATCATTTGTAAAAAACCGACACCACACGGATTCGCGCCAACTTGTGGGCCATCGTTCCAATACATACCAATGAGGCCAAACACCCGCTCTACACGTTGGCCAATGCTATTGGCCACTACATTCGCCACTGTGTTGGCCAACGTGTAGAGGTGCCATTAGGTTTACGAATGATATTCGCACCATCCAAACTCTCTAAGAAACTTATGTAGTAATTTCTGATATTATTTACTTTAACAAATTAATCTTTCTTTTTCTTCCAACATTCACAATTTATCTCGTAAAATAAATATACAAAAATAAAGAAAATCTTAGATCGCATATTATGTCCGAACATTCTTATCTCTTAAATAAGACGGAACGTCCGTTACCGTTAAAGATTTTGTTAAGAACAAAAATGCCGAACGTAACCTATCTATAGATTGCCTCATAGGTGGATATTTGCCAATATTGCCAAGCTTGGCAGGCGGGGTGGCGACCGCAGATTTATATTTTTAGTGGTTATTAGGAAGGTGCTTCTACCCATCTACTGGTTGGTTTTCCTCTGTCCCGACACCCACGGGACGACATACAGTAGTAGACGTTCTTACTTTGCTACTACACGTTGATGAAGTTAAGATATTAATTTGATTGAAAAGATCTCATAGTCTTTCGGTCAGAAGTTTCTTTTACATATAAACACTCACGCGTGTCATCCAGAGGGGTAGGCAGAGACGACGGACTTCCATTTGGCACGATCCTGACATACCTCTCTCGCCTCCTTTACATCCATATATCTACGCATACACGCTCGTCGGTTAAGGATACTTCTAATGTGGCTTATTTTCAAAATATCGTCAATTTGGTTGAAACACTTTCTTCTAAGGCGTCCCTTCCCGTCTCTGCCGTTCACATCTGTCATATAAATTTGCTTTGTAACTCTCCTTATTCATTCTTTCTACATGACCAAACCACCAAAGCATTCCTTT